ATGTACAATTGCCGTAAATAAAATGAATATGCATGTACGTACTGGCCTTAATTGCTTTAGTGAACAATACTAAATACGCCTGTGTCGTAGGATGATACAAAATATTTATCTAAATCAATGGCAGTTTGATTTTGATTTCCATTCACTCCGATCGGAATCGAACGTATTTAATACTGTAATATTATCAGTACCTATTTCTTATATGAGAGAGTAACGCGTAGAAGCTCTAAAATTACCATCACAGTTGTAAATTCCCACCTCTGATTATACACGATAATTTCTGACCCCTGACCCGCTAGACCTGATCCCTGTCCCTGCACGGCGGTAGGACCGTGATGAAACTCTCTGTCTCGCTGTCGCTGTTGCTGAAGTTGGTCCTCTCCGAGAATCCATTAGGACAGAACGGTTGGAAATACGTGCAGCCCCTCGCAGCGATCTCAACTCCGGAGTCCATACTTTTCGAGAAAGAGACGTCTGACAGTCGACGAAAATTGCCGAAGAACACGCTGTCTGTACCGACGCTCTCAGCACCGCTCTCGCTGGCTCCGTCGCAGACAGACTCGGTCTCGTCGGTCTCCGAGACGCTGCTCACCTCGTGTTTCAACAACTGTTTATGAGAACCATTGCTATCAGTGCTGCTTAAATATCCACTGTCCTCCACTTTCCGCGGTGGATAGCCAAACTGGTTCCTGTCTGATTTACCCGGATGCTTCTTGCAAATTTCAGATTCGCTGTGACTCCTGCAACTCTCCTGCTCCGAAGTCTTCCTGCTGTCCTTCTGACTACGATAATTCCACGTGGCGGATGAGTTCGATTTTGACTTCGAGTTATTTCTACTCTCACTAGATCTCGGTGCAGGTTTCTTGCAAGAACAGTCGTTGGTCCCTACATCAGGGTCTTCTTTAGGGACAGGAGCACCGTTGCTGGTCGTAGGGTCACCCGCTCCGGCAGGACTCCTGCCCCAGCCGTTTTTTGACAAACAAGACACCTTCTTCCCGTCCTTCACAAGCCTCGGAGGCTTCGGATGTTGGTAGATGTTCTCCGTAGGTGGCAGCGGTACCACGTCGGGTCGATTACTCGGTTGCCTCTGCCTCTTCAACTGCCTCGTCTCCGGTGTCAGATACTTACACTTCTTCCACGACATCGAAGACTCCGAATGCGCGTTCAACGACCTGGTGCTGGTCGACAGATCCCTGGAAGTCGATTTTAATCTCGCCTCGTAGATCTCCCGCAGGCTACCGTAGCCACGTTGCAAGCTCGGTGCGTTTCTTGTTGAATCTTGGTCCCGGAAACTGCCTTTACTTTTTAAAAGAATCTGCGCAGGTCTTTCGAGGGAGTCCACGTAGACCTCGTCGGGTACGTCTCTCTCGTAATGCACGTCGTCGTTGATCCTCAGCTTCATCGGCTTCCTGTCCAACGTGTCCGGCTCGTATTCAGACTCGTCCTGTTTCACGTAATTCTCTGGCGAATCTTGTACTTTGATCGTCAGGTGTCCTGGATTCTCCGGCTCGTATCGAATATCCGGTCCAGAATCGTCGCTACAAGCTGGACTGTCGTAACCATCGTTCACGTACACCTCGCTGACCAACGAGTAGCCCTCAGGTTTCTGGGAGATCAGTTCCGGAAGACTGTTGTAATAATTCTTCTCGATCACGTCCTTGTCCAATTTATTAGAGGTCATCATCTGTCCGGTCTTCGTGTCGATCACTGCATTCTGCATGGTCAGTTCCTCATCCATCGGCAGAGCCGTGGACAGAGCCGGGCTCGATTGATCGGTGAACTCTGGAGAGGTCGATGACTTCCTGCTAGACTTGGACCGCTCCAAACTGTCCACTTCGTAATCAGCGATGTTACCAGATCTCGAGTCCAACACTTTGGCATCGACCATCTCTCGAATCACCGCGTCCATTATACGTTTCGCTGTGTTCTTCGTGTTCGGTAGTTCGTTTATCATATCTGGTAGCTCCTTCTTCCGTTTCATGGAATTACTGCAATTCGTCTTAACTTTTTCATCCTCATTCTTAGGAACCACGTTTTTCTCTTTATTCGTTGTTACGTTCTTTTGTAAAGAGGCGTTCTCTTCCATTTGTTTAATGAACGAGTTCTCGATAGCTTTTCTCACCTTCGCGTTGATCGCCTCGTCGCCGTTAGGAACAGAGGAATCCCCGTTACGTGATAGACAATAATTCGTCTCCTCAAACATAGATTTAGTCGACCGTTTTGAAACACTATGTCGATCGTCGGTTTCGATGATCTCACTTCTCGCCACGTTTTCAAACGCTTTCACTACTTGCTTGTCCTTCCACGGGTTCATTTTTTCTACGTCTAACTCACGTCTGGCCAAGGCTTTCAAATATTCCAGATTTCTGTTAAAGGTTCTGGTGTTTTCTTGTAGTGTCCTTCTGGCTTCCTCGGCGTCGCGCCATCGTCGCTGAGGGGCCGTTCTGACGTCCTCCAACCAGGCGCGGACTTTGCTCTCACCGGGACTCGGCTGATCCGGCAGCGACGGGGTGTTCCGGAAAGAATCCGTGCATCCGGGACACCCGGTGCATCTTTGAGATTTTCGGGACTTCGACCCTTGGACCGAACTCCCCGATTGCTGTTGATGATTCTTACCGGCGGACTCGCAAATCGATTCCTCTTCCGTGATACCTGAGCAAAGGGATAAATATTAACGGCAAGAATTAGAAGCGTAAGAATTTTTTAGATCAAATTAGGCGAGGTAAGTATTGATTTTAGGTAGAAATGTGTAGTATTGTTGATTGGATTGTATACTAACCGCCGAGGGTGGGAACGAATCTCTTCATGGCCATTTTGTGCTTAGCAATGGATATCACTTCTCGTATCTTCAATAGGAACTCGATGGCTGCCGGTGGAGGCGCCTAGAAAAATTCCCGGCTGTCTTTACATTATCTCGTGGTTATCAAAATAAGTTCATTGAAATCCGTAGTAAATATCTAATTTCCTATTCATTCTACTCATTAACTGACTTCAGGGTTGAATATTTATTAACCCCTTGACATACAAATTAAATGGAACTTTACATACAAATTAAATGGAACTTGACATACA